TCGTTGCTTCGGCAGCTTTTGTGCCCGCAACAATCATTTTTGGAGAAGAAAGTGAGGGGAGGAGTAAGCGTTATATGCACCCTCATTACTTTATATAAAAACAAGTTATTATGCCAGCTGCCTTTGAAATCAACGAAATAAGACTCACGATCTCAGTCGTTTGAAACAATTGCCACAGACCGTATGGGCGCACGGAAACACAACCCATACGTCTTCCATCGGTGTATAACAGCATGGACACTCTCGCACGGCCACGCCACCGCTTTGCGCTTCCCTTCATGGTTTTCAAAATAGGTTTTTCAACAATCACCACTACTAATATACGATAGAGGAAACGAATAATGCTAGAACAAGGGTAAAGATCTGCAAACATTGCTCACTTGAGCAAGGTATTCAGGTAGCGAAGAGAACTTAATGCTCCAGACACCATCTCGACTGACTGCTTCTCGGCTTCAGTAAACGCAGTTAGAGCCAACTGAACAAAAGTGGCAAGGTATCGTATAAGTCATTACTAATATCCCAAATCAAACCGGTAAAAATTGAATACTTACATCGATATTATTCTGGTTAAGAACAACTGTGCGCGACGTGAATGGAAAACAAACTTTCATGCCGATTTCAAATCGCATGCATGAACTGATGATCTCTCGTCTGAAATACACAAAAACATAAAAAACGATGAAGGTCAGCTCAATGTTTAATAACGGTCAAAAGTGTTCGCCGAAACGGTTTTCCGTGCTTCTTTTTTTTGCCAGAAAAAAATCAATGGTGGCCTCGAAAATTTTTCTTTTGAATATCCTGATTCTTTAAGACTTGAGGATATAAAAACACTAGAAAACATAGTATATCAATCTTTGGAGGGCGTTGCTCAAGCGAGAAAAAATAATGCACTGAAAATCGTTTCGGCGAACACTTTTGACCGCTACTGTAAATAGCAGAATCTTTTCGAAATTAACCACGAATCACAAACTACGATCGAGTGGCATTCATGGGACTAACAAAAACAACTCAGCACAAATAAACTTCAGCATAGACAACTCAAGTTATCGTACCTAATGGACGGAAAGGGTAATTAACGCATATTTGAGCTCAGCGTCGCAAGGCGCGTATACATCTCATTTCAATTGGCCGGGTTGACCAAATGACCTTTTATGGGTTAGATTAACTTTTCTTCCCGACAGTTGGCGTAATACGTGGCGCTCGCCCGTATCAACGATTCGCAACTGGCACTGGCCCAGCAGTCCAGTGAGAGTAACACGGTAGGTACTTTCAAGGTTCGTTCTTCAAAATTCTATTTTCGAGCGTGAAGTTTTGCACAGTGTCTCTAATAATCGCAAAAAGGTTTCCTGTAGGAGAAGAGGAAAGGAGCAGGTCCATTAAATTCATTGAATGTGTACCTGGCCTACACAAGGAGAGCATGGTAAGGCCAGAATTTGTCCTTATTATATACCAGTTGGCGCCGCACGCATTGCGCGCGCAACACAGATCTGCGGCGAATTTTGATGGTGCGACGAAAATTTTCAAATTTGGCTTGATACACACGAATATCTGAATTCTCAGCTAAATTCTATCCGCTCCATCATCGACGGCTTTCAACCTCTTTTTCTTCGTCAACCATTATCCTCTTTTTCCCGGTCTCCGGACTGCTTCCGGACAATAAATCTCGTGGCAAACTCCGCCTACTTCGGTGCGTGCTCCGCCCACCAATAGCATTTGGCCCCTTCCTTTCGCCGACCTCTACCCCTTTTTTTCACCGGTCTCTGGGACTCTTGGAAGCAGCTGATCTCTTTTCCCTCGCCAACCTCTAACCCCGTTTTCCCTATCTCTAGGACTTCTTGGAGCCGAGTTCTGAATTTTCGTCGCAAACTCCGCCCACTTTGGTCAACCCCGCTCACCGGTTATAGCTGGGCTCCACTCCTCCACCCACCTCCATCCACCTTTTTCCCTGAGCGAAGACTTTTGAGCCCAGTTAAATTTCAGGTCGCAACTCGCCCATTTAGCGACCTACATCCAACCGTAGGCAGTAGTATGCGCAGCAGCTAACTTCTCTTTCTCTGCTGACCTATACCCACTTTTTTCCCGTTCTCCAGGACTTCTTGGAACCAAGTTATGAATTTTCCTGGGTAACTCCGCCCACCTAGGACTTGCTCCACCCACCAATAATATTCTAGCTCTGCTTACTTAATACCCTCCATGCACCTTTTTCCGCGGTCTCCCGGGCTTCTTGGAATCGAGTTATGAATTTTCGTGATAACTCCGCCCACTTTGAACATGCTCCGCCCACTAATGGTATTTAAGCTCCACTCCTCCACCCACCTCTACCCACCTTTTTCCGTGCCTCCGGGACTTCTTGGAGCCGAGTTATGAATTTTCGTCGCAAACTCCGCCCACTTTGGCCAAGCCCCGCCCACCGGTAACAGCTGGGCTCCAATACTCCACCCACCTCCACCTACCTTTTTCCGGGCCTCCGGGACTTCTTGAAGCCGAGTTATGAATTTTCGTCGCAAACTCCGCCCACTTTGGTCAAGCCCCGCCCACCGATGACAGCTGGGCTCCACTCCTCTACCCACTTCAATCCACCTTTTTCCGGCTCTTCAAGACTTCCCCGGCCCGAATTATGAGGACTTGTAGAAAATGCTGTACACTTCAGAGCGCGCCCCGCCCATTCTGGGCGGGCCTCCGCCCACGTCATGTATGCGGAAAACACCTTAGACATTGCTCCCTTACACCGAATTGTTTTCTGCTCTGTAGGCTTTCTCCCACGTCGTAAAATTTTCATAAAACACTGCTTTTTTAGAGAACGCCCCCCCACCGGGGGTGGGTCTCCCTAGTTCGATGTGACTTACCAATGCACACCTTTACCCACTTTTTGGCTCAGTTTCGAGGTCGTTTTGTCACTGAAATCGAAACCTTGGTCTTCGGTACAGTTCATTTCGACGCACGCCACGCCCTCTGTGGGCGGGGCTCCGCTTAGCTGATGTGTGTTTTGTATTTCGTGAGACCTTGCCCACCCATTTCCACACACTTTGACCCGATCCCGAGAGCTAGGGAATTTCGTGACAGACACACAGAATAGACGACGACAGATGAAGCTTTATGGGTAGTAGGATGACCTTCCGTAATTGAAACGATTGAAGAAAGAATTGGCTCCAGAATTTATTCCTTTTATGTGAAAGACTAAGATGACTATTGATCCTGATATGGAACCGAGCATTCAGTTTCTATTTAGTGCATTGAAAGTTATGAAATGAGCGATGGGCTTTTTTTAACAAGCGATGCTTTTATTGGTGTTTTTAGGATCTATGCTGTGATCTAATAAAGTAGCAATGGAAGTTAAGTTTAATGGGGCAGGGTTGACTCTATCGTGAACCCAGTTCCGGTTACCACCAAGCCAACAGCACTGTAACAACTACACAAGAGAGGAACTCTATTCATAAAGTGAAGCATAACATAAGCTGAACGCACTCTCTATTCATCCATTCCTGTACAACCGTCACCACTTCTCGACCCAATCGCACCAACTTCTCCGCTATTTCGAACCACTCAAGCAGTTGCTCGTAGAACGGCTGTATTGCCTCTATCACTCGTCGTCGACTCAATCGATACATCCGATTCAGAATGGCCTCGTACGGGCACTTATCTTTGCTGAAAATTGTAGTTATCAAAAATGTTTTTTTAAAGACTGCTTTCCTTTCAGTTCAAGACTTCAAATTAACGTCTTTCAGCTCGAAACATGAAACATGCAATAACAAACCTTACAAAATTACTATTGCGTCGCAGTTCAGAAATACCTTTGTCACAGTCCGCCAATTCACAAACAGGACACTTTACGCTTTCGAACCTGAAAGCATGTCTAATGTGTTTAAGAATTCGTTTCTACCTCTCAGCTCCTCTTTTGATGACCTCTCATTATCTGTGAAGATTCATGCACTGATGGACCCATCTCAGCAACCGAAGCAAGCTCCGGAAGGTTGCTTTCGCCCAAAGGAGTTTCCGCTCCGTTACTTGGAATCAGACTCATTACAAACTTCAAATTACGACACTAATACCGCTAGCGCAGAAAACCACTGCTTGCATTTCCGTAAGCTACTGTAGATTGAGCAAAAATTCAGCTCTTCATGGTTGAAGATCGTCCGTGTGCTAAACAGCAACTTCCGATCATATGATGAGAAGGGAATCAAGAAACTGATCAGAACATAGGCTTCATGATTCTCCACCGACTACCATATTCATATGGTGTTGTAGGAGCCCAATACCTCTTCTTTCTCTCCCTTTCTCAGTTTTCAAAAAAGGATTCTTGATGATCGCGTACACTTCAAAAAAGGTATCTGACTACTCCTCGAATCGAAACTTAATCGGAGAGTATCACATATACAGGGGTGGCCAAAAAAAAGAGACACTTTGCCCATGGCGCACATCATCGAACTTTTCGTCGCACAGGGTGCCGATGTTAATGAAAGTTTTACGGCGAAATATTCCTAAGGTCTTCCCCCGTAAACAGAAGCAGGCCTTCCTTCATTGCCTCCGCCGTCTTTAGAATATGACGTCATCTGCCGCCACCGTCGAGCTCAACGAGGCTTACCAGTAATCGCTCCGGCCTGAAGCTGCTTCATAATTTCTTCAATGGATTAACTGCTGAATAGCTTCCTAGAGACATAGCTGTGAATATGCGAACCACTTTTTGACCAGCTTTTCAGGGACTTCGTAATGGTCTATGGTACCTGGACGACATACACTGAGCTGCGGTATCGCGAAGGCATGTTTCCGTGGGAAAATCTTCTGAGATGTCGTCGGTGTATAAAGTGTCATGTAAGGTTTAGATAGATCAGAAGGTGCTCTTTGATACTAAATTGGGCAGTCGATTTCATATTAGCAAAGTGTGATTAATGCTGTCTGAAATGTGGAGCCCAAGTGTCTCTTTTTTTTTGGCCACCCCTGTATATAGAAGGATTATTGTATTGGACTGATGCCTCA